CTCTTCCCCTGTTAAGTTACTCCACAAATACTAGAAGAGATGGCTATTCTCTCAAATGCGCAAATCATGACAAAAAATAAAAAGGCATATGAAGAAACAGAGAAAGTGGCACAATCAAAGGAAAACAGTATCAACTCTTAGGTAATTCATAGATCTTTTTTTTTTTTTTTTAAAGAATTCAAAATAATAATCTTAAAAGAAACTTGGTGTTAAACAAAAATATGGATGAACAACTAAATGAATCAGGAAAATGATGCAAGAACTAAATAAGAATTCAACAAAGAAAAACTTTAAAAAGAACCAAACATAAATTCTAGAACTGAAGAATATAATAACTGAATTGAAAAATTCACTAGAGGGAATCAACAGCAGATTTGATCAAGAAGAATCAGTGAACTCAAAACTGGTGGCTGGAAATTAACTGAGTCAAGAGAAAAAAATTTGAAAAGAATGAAGAAAAGTAAAAAAGCCTAAGGAACTTATGGGACAATATGATAGACCAATATGAATATTATGAGAATTCCAGAAGGATAGAAAGTGAGAAAGGGGCAGAGTGCTTATTTGAAGAAACAATGGCCCTACACTTACCAAATATGGAAAAAAAAATATGCCAAATTCAAGAAGCTCAAAAGGATTTCAAGGAGAATGAACCAGAAGTTCACATTCAAATATATTGTATCAACCATCAAAAGTCAAAGGAAAAGCCTTGAAAGTGGTTTTTTCACCTATAAAATAGTCCCCATATGATTTCAGCAGATTTTGCAACAGAAACATAACAGGGTAGAAAGGCATGGCATATATTCAAAATATTGGAGGAGGACTTCCAACCAAAAAGATGGTACTAGGCAAAACTGCTCTTCCAAGAGAAATAGACTCTCCCAGATAACAAAAGCTAAGGAGTTCATCACTAGTATGCCTGACTTCCAGAAATACACTACAGGGAGTCCTTCAAGTTGACACAAAAATATGGTAGGCAGCAACAACAACAAACAAAAAAGGTGGGTAGGGAAGAAAACAAAGCTCTCTGGTAGAGATAAATATAGAGACAGGCAGAGTCCTGTAATACTATAATGGTGGCATATGAACCACTTTTATTTTAGGTATAGAATTTAAAAGATAAAAGCATAAAATAAATATATAAAACTATGCAAGCCAGACTTGGTGGCACACGTCTATAATCCCAGTGATTTGGGAGGCTGAAGCAGAAAGTTCCCAAGTTTGAGGCCAGTCTCAGCAACTTATCAAGACCCTCAGCAACTTAGAGAGACACTGTCTCAAATTAAAAAATAAAAGGACCAAGGATAATAATAGCTCAGTGGTAAAGCATCCCAAGTTCAATCCCCAATACCAAAAACAAACAAAAAAACCCAAAACTGTGCATATTGTAATTGTTAAAACAACTACTAAAAAAATTAGATAGAGCTAAAAATCCAAAAATGATGGATAGCAAGAATGACAGACTAGAGATATGTTACCAATATTAAGAATGAAAACTGAGCCATTACCACAGATCCTATAAATTAAAAAAGGAAAGTGAAGTGTGTGGATTTGTATTATGCCAGCTCCAGAAAAGCTGGCATTCATTTCCCACAATTCTCCTCACTGCATATTTCCGAGTTAGCTGTAGTCCATGCAAGTCAAGGGCAGAAACGAATCAACTCTCACAGTTGATACACATTGTCACATAGGTATTGGTTTCCCCTTGTTAGTGGGGCAGCTCTTTTAGCTGCTGCTGTATTTCTTCCTTCAGCTTTTTTGACTCAACAAGCTAGGAATACATTTACCCAGCTTCTTTTATAGGAAACTCTGTCAAAGTTGGAAATCTTAGAAAAAAAAGAGCCCAGTATGGGTTCTGATCTATCCTCCTGGGCTCCTATTCATCCCCACAGATTACAGTTTGTCATTACTTCAACCACTTCATATTCATCTTCTGTTCCTGAGTGCCTCCACCTACTGACACTAAGTTGCAGACAGGAAATCAACAGCTTCACCTAAACTGTTTAGCCAGCATCCACATATATATTAGTTAAAATCCAAATAAATTTGGCAACTTAGAGGAAATTTATCAGTTCTTTGAAAGACACAAGTTACCAAAACCTACTCAAGAAGAAATAGTTAACTTGAAGATAGCCCTATATTTATTTATCCATTAAATATATTCAGAAAAAGACCCATACATAGTAAAATAATTTTCAAAAAAAAGTGCTGAAATAATTTAATGGAAAAAGAAAAGTCCTTTCAACAAGTGGTGCTAGAATAATTGTATAGACTATGAAAAAATAAACCCAACTCCACCATCTAACCATCCCTGGAGCTCATATACACACAATTAAATCAAGAGGGTTCACATATTTAAATATAGTTTCTTAAAGGAAATCCAGGAAACTCTGCAGCTTTAGGGTAAGCAAAAATTTCTTAAGACATGAAAAGCACTATCCATAGAAGAAAAATTTGACAACAGGACTTCATCAAAATTAAATTTTTTCGGCTCATCAAAATATACCATAAAAAATACAGCATAAAGATAAGTGAAAAGCAAACTACAAAACAGAAAATATCCACAAGACTGTTGAAGAACCTTACATAAAGCATTAATAAAACAACAAATAACTCAATTAAAAACGGGAAAGCTGGGCATGATGCCTAATTCCTATAATCCCAGCTCCCTGGGAAGCCAAGGTAGGATGATCACGAATTTGAGGCCAGCCTGCTGAGCAACTTAGTAAGACCCTGTTTTTAAAAAAAAAAAAAAAAAAAAAAAAAAAAAACACCTGGAGGGAAATACCACATAAAAAATATAGCAATATAACAATTAGAAATACAAACTGAAGCCATAAAGAGAGAGCATTTCAGACTGATAAGAATGAATAAGATTAAAATTTACTCATAATACTAAATGTTGGCAAGGACATGAAAGTATTGGAATTCTCATTCACCGACAGTTGAGAGTATATAATGGTATAATCACTCTGGAAAACAAGTGGGGTATTTCTTACAAAAAGACCTTAAAAGAGCGTACTATAGGGATACTGCTACATCGATGTTCATAGCAGCACAATTCACAATAGCTAGACTGTGGAACCAACCTAGATGCCCTTCAATAGATGAATGGATAAAAAAAAAATGTGGCATTTATACACAATGGAGTATTACTCAGCACTAAAAAATGACAAAATCATGGCATTTGCAAGGAAATGGATGGCACTAGAGCAGATTATGCTAAGTGAAGGTAGCCAATCCCTAAAAAACAAATGCCAAATGTCTTCTTTGATATAAGGAGAGCAACTAAGAACAGAGTAGGGAGGAAGAGCATGAGAAGAAGATTAACATTAAACAGGGACGAGAGGTGGGAGGGAAAGGGAGAGAGAAGGGAAATTGCATGGAAATGGAAGGAGACCCTCATCGTTATACAAAATTACATATAAGAGGAAGTGAGGGGAAAGGGAAAAAAAAAAGGGGGGGTGAGAAATGAATTACAGTAGATGGGGTAGAGAGAGAAGATGGGCGGGGAGGGGGGTAGGAGGGATAGTAGAGGATAGGAAAGGCAGCAGAATACAACATACACTAGTATGGCAGTATGTAAAAACGTGGATGTGTAACCATGTGATTCTGCAATCTGTATACAGGGTAAAAATGGGAGTTCATAACCCACTTGAATCAAATGTATGAAATATGATATGTCAAGAGCTTTGTAATGTTTTGAACAACTAATAAAAAAACAAAGTTAAGCATATACCTACTATATGACCCATATTCTAATTTATAATATATTAATATATTCTAATTATATTAAATTAAAAATATTCATCCATAAAAAGATTTGTACAAAAGGTTTATAGCTTGGTTCACAATAGCCAGAAACTAACAGTGATTGAAATGCCTATCAAAAGAAGAATAAATATGGTATCATCATTTCAAGAATAAGCTTCTGAAAACTTATATAAATGATCTCAAAAAATTTTCATTGAATGAAAGTAGCCAGAAGCAAGACTACATGTTGTTACAAGTCCATTTACATAAAGTTTAACAAAGGCAAAACTAATCTGTGGTGATAAAAATCAGGTAAAGTGAATGTTGTATAGTTTGGATCTGAAATGTCAAAGGTTCATGTGTTGAAGTCTTGGTCCCCAGATGGTGACACTATAAGGAAGTGGCAGAATCTGCATAAGGTAGGACCTAGTCAGAAGAAGTACATAAAGAGGTATGTACCCTGGAAGGGCATATCCTGTCCCCAGCCCCTTCCATCTTTCCTTCCCAGCCACCATGAGCTGAATAGCTTCATACCACATCATGCTCCCTGCCATAATGTTGTGCTTTACCTCAGGCCTAAAAGCATGGAGACAGATAACCATGAACTGAAACTTCTGAATGTGAAATAAATCTTTCCTCCTTTAGGTTGCTTATGTAAGGTACTTTGTCACAGTTATGAAAAACTAACACAAATGTCTAATGGAGGTTTAAATTAACTTGTAGGGGCACACAGAAACTTTCAAGGGTAATATAAATGTCCTATATCTTCAATGGGGCATTGATTAAAGTGGGAGATACATTTATCAAAACTTACTGAATTATTCACTTAAGACATGTACATTTTACTACATGCAAATTTTATCCCAAAATAGAAAGAAAAAAATCACTTATGAAAATTTGAACATCCATTAAGATGAAATTATGTTTTTCAAAGCAGCATATTTTTAAAAAGACCCCAAGAGAATGTCATTTTTAATCACTTAAAGTTTGAAGACTCTTCAAGTTCAAAGTAAAAACTTAATTGCTATCAAGTTTATTAACAAAAATACTGTTCTGACTGTAAGAATTTCTCTAAAAATAAGGTACTTCAATAGAGTACTGTGTGGCCTCTGTTTCTATCTACTACAAATTGGTTTTGTGATGCTACAAACTTATTTAAGCAGAATGACAATGGAATAAAGAGATAAAAAGAAAAAGGTAACCAGAAATGACAGAAGAATTCAAGGTTCAATAGAAGGAAGGTATCATACCTGTTGGGAGAGGTATATATATCCTTTTCTCTAATCTCCTTCGCAAAGCTTCATCAATGTCCCATGGGAAATTGGTAGCAGCCAATACCATAACCATTTTGGAAGGATCATCATTTTCTAAAGCTCCTCCAACTCCTAGACACATTAAGAGAGGAAAGGCTGTCACTGTTTTTATTACAGCCCTTTATTATTTTATTCAACTAACATTTCTATCATGGTGCTTGTGGCAGAATTGGTGACAAAATGAGACACAACAATAGATAACTACAAAACAAGGAAGTAAAAAAATCACAAAATCTTGTTCAGGGTTCTAATGCAGTAAGAAAAACTAAATTTTCTAAGAAAATAAGTATATTTCTTCTGAAAAGACATCAGATACTAGTCTATTTCTTTTTCTTTCTCTAGCTATATCCCCATACTTTTTTCTTTCGAGACAGGGTCTTGAACTAGATTCAAATTTGCGACACTCCTGCCTTGTCTCCCAAGTCTCTGGGATCACAGGCATTAACCACTATACCTGGCTTCATTCTTTCTTTTTTTTAACCACAAATTTCCTCAAAAATTATTTTATTTTAGTTCTGAGTCTAATTTAAATACTGTTTACTTTTATAACCAAATCAACTACAAGTATGTACAAATAGTCTGCCTTTTCAGAGTTAAAATTTAAGAAATATAAATAAAATTTCAGGTCAAAGTAGAGTAGAGAAAGGGGAATGGGGGAAGGGAGGAGGGAAAGGAAAGAAGTACTGGAGACTGAAGTGAAGAGAATTATATTCTATGCACGTTTGATTATGTCAAAATAAACCCCAATATTATGTATAACTATAAGGCACTGAAAAGAACATTAAAAGATTTTAGATCACATAACAGAAACTCTGGAAATAATGGGTGAATTATACAGAGTGCTTGCCTAGCACACGTGAGGCACTGGGTTCAAACCTCAGCACCACATAAAAATAAATACATTAAAGTAAAGATAATGTGTCCATCTATAACTAAAAATATTCTTTAAAAAAAATAAAAAAAAACCTCATAAACTTTACTGATACGATTTTCTAGCCTGGTATAACAAATTAGTGGTTTTAGAGCCACTAAGTTTAATATGCATTTTCACAATAAATTAATACTAAAACTCCTATTTCAATCCTATCCCAAAGAATCAAGCTGTCCAACTGATAATCAACCACAGTCACAAACACGTCTCAATGAAATTTTGCTGATTAAATGTGTATTCAGGGTTTTTTTTCCAATTTTGATAAACTAATACTCTCCCCTACACCCTTCCTGTAAAACATAATACAGCTGCTCCTTTCTCACATGCTTAAGCAAAAGTTAAAATGGCAAACTGAGGAAAAGACACTACATATAACACACCATAAATATTAATTATTCATGGTCAGTGGGTAACTATTTTGAAACAAATACTCTGGATATTTTTTAATAGCTTTTAATCTTTTCTCATGGTGCATACCATGCACTAGCAGAGGAAGCAGCACCTCTAAGCACATAACTCTCTGGGGTGGCTACCCAATGCCTTTTTTTCTTTGTCTGGACAACCCTAACCAACGCTTCAAAGCCCAACTCATCTATCCCCTTCAGGACTCCCTTAGTCTGGGTGGTGAGACTCCTACTGTATTTTCACTGCACCCAGAGCTTAGTTCTACCACAGAACATATCAGCATGTATTACAAATTTTCTCATTGGTTGTCTGCTTCCTGGCTAAAAGTGGCTCTCAAAATTTTCAGTCTCAGAACTCTTTTACAATCTTAAAAATTCTTGGGAGTGCCAAAGAGCTTTTGTATGTGTGGAGTATATCTACTGATATTCACCATTTATAAATTAAATTTACAAAATATGATTATTTTAAAATAATAATATATCCATGAATAGTTAACATAAATGACATATTTTGTGAAAATAAGTTTAGTAAAAAGAGACTTTTTAAAACATTTTAATGTCTGACTCAACAGAGAACAGCTGGATTTTCACATCTGCTTCTGGTTTCTACCTTTTCTGCTACTCCTAGGTCTCATAGTCTCTGAAAAACTCCACCATACACTTGTGAGAGAATGAGAGTAAAAAGGCAAAGTCTTGATATTACTATTAAAATAGTTTAGGCCTTGCAAAGCCTTTCAAGGGGTCAAGGACCCCTGGAACTTTAGGTCACACCTCTAGAGCCTCTGCTGTCACAGAGACTCCCTGAAGGCCTTGCGGTGGTCCTGTACTAATTCACAAACAGATGAACAAGCGGGTGGGTACATAAGTGGTTAAAAATAAATTCAGACTTCCTTTTAGTCCATTCTCTGAAAACATCCAAAGTATGATTTTATGCAAAGCTAAAAACGTAAAGATACCAGTTTTGAAACCATAATTAAATATCAATTACCATCCATCTGAATGAGGAGCTCAGACTTGACTCTGCGACTTGCCTCATGCTCATCAGAAGTTCCTCTTCGGCTACAGATAGAGTCTATTTCATCAATGAAGATTGTGGTAGGGGCATAAAACCTAGCCTTTGTAAAAATATTTTAAAGAAATTATTCATCTATCTCATAAAATAATTTGAATATTTTTAAAATATCATTTTTTCCTTTTAAAATAAAGCAAATGAAAGTTGAAAACCTAACTTTCAACTTCAATGCCACCACAATCTGGTTGTTAACAGAAGTTAAATCAATTAGATAAGTAAAACTTTCTAAAACTGAAAAAGTTATATGGTTGGTAAAGTTGGATGATAGAATAGTATGGCGAATCCCCATGTAGCTTTTTTTTTTTTCTGGTGATGCTGGGGACTGAACCCAAGACCTTGTGCATGCAAAGCAAGCACTCTACCAACAAAGCTATATCCCCAGCCCCTCACCATACTATTCTACTTTTGTGTTTGGTAATATCCATAATGAAAAAAGTTTGAAAGATAAATCAACTTCTATCCTCAAACATGCATTCTTTTTGTGTGTATGTGTGGTGATGGAGATTGAACCCAGGGCTTTGTGCATGCAAAACAAGCACTCTACCAACTGAGCTATATCCCCAGCCCACATGCATTCTTAATTATTACAAATCCTTTCTGAAAAAGGAACTAGCTTTAATGCTACGTCAGTTTCTGATGAAGTGATCTGTGCTATGTATTTAAATACATATAAAAATATTCTTCTGCTCCACCAATCTTCTAGATATCCAGAAACACTATCCAGTTGATCTGTATACAGTCAGATTCTCTTCTACTCACTGAGCAAGACACCAGACGGCCCTCTTCAGAAAGAAAGACACACTGAAGAACATCAACTACCTCACAAAACCCACTGCCCCATTGCTCAAGGCGGGTGTATGTCCAGAACTATTGAAATATAACCACAAGCCCTTTTTGAAAAGATTCCTAGGAGAATGGACCTAGAATGTGGGGCCACCATACGCCCACACAAATAGTACTTTAAATCTGAATACACCATCACTCACCATTTCAAACAACAGACGGACTAACTTCTCAGATTCACCTCTGTATTTAGATGTCAGTGTAGAAGAAGAAACATTGAAAAATGTTGTGCCACATTCAGTGGCAACAGCTTTTGCCAGCATAGTCTTACCAGTGCCTGGGGGTCCAACCATCAGCACACCCTGAAATTTCAAAAGATGAATTAAATGATTTTTCAGATTAAAATACTTTTTTTTTTTTTTATAAATTATCATGTTGAAGTACATAAACACAGCTGTCACAGTAAGATCACAGTACATTTGGCAGGAGTATCATTTTATAGATAGAAAAAAAGTGAAGAGTGATTGAAGTAAGTTTCTATACTGTTGGGAGAAAAAGCCAGTAGATAAGAAGATATAAGAAACAGGTGACAATTACAGGAGTAAGTTCCTGAGGAGATGAAATAATAATAACCATGTAAAAATTCACTGATCTTCAAGACATCAGAGGGTTGGTTTTCTTAAGGCATTTTCATTATTCACTGATTTGTTTTTGTAGAATACTTGATGTATTTGTTTTCAAATGTAAGAAGCAGTTCAAGTTTAGTTTTTAGTACGTATTTAGTGGGTCTTTTATGATTAATACTATTTTATTTATACTACATTAAGCTGACACAATTCTAGTTAATTTGATCATGTTGGAATGACCAGTGGATTTCACTGCTACCTTATTACCTCAAATGCATCTTAATTTTTTTGACTAAAAGGTATATATTATAGATGAATGTGGAAGGTAGGATTGGTCCCTTACTGAGGGCAAGGAATATTGGGTTCAACATGTCACAGAAAATGTCTTTTTTGAGGAAAACTGCTCTCAGCCTGTGAAGTTTGGCCCAACTCTGCATAGGTGTCAGAAATCACCAATAAGCCTTCAGTTGACCCTGGAATCTGGGAGTCATACAACTCATCCCTCTCCCTTTCCCTATATCACACTTTTTCTCAACACCTCTTACAAATCCAGGCCAAACAGTCAGTGCCGTGGCTCTGAATACTGTGACAGCCTCTTCATTATATTCCTTACCTCTCTTCAGCTATGTCCACCTCCAACCAATCAATCCTCCTGCTACTGGAAGAGCATCTTTCTACGTTTGCAAGTCATCTCCAGATAAAGCTCTTCGATGACTCAGTATCTTTAGCATGACACATAGGGCTCTTCAAGAAAGGCAGCTACCTCCAGCTACTCAGCAGTCTTTTGTTACATGACCCATAGAAACACTCTATGCTTCAGCCATATGATTCCCCAAACACACTACATCCTCCTACACCTTTCACGTTTGGATAGACAACCATTCTGCCTTAGGGACTTTCCTCGTCACATTTGCGTACTGAACTCTGGTGTCTTTCAAGTCTCAGCTCAGAGGCACCTGCTCTGGAAACCATCCTGATATTCTCCATCACAGATCTAGTTACTCCTCTCTGCTGCCACAGCAGCATGTTTACTACCACACTGTCCTGTGGAACAAATACTGCACGCAATACACTGCATCTGTAATAATAAATATTTATCTGCACGAAGACCATGATTTCCTGTGGGTTGTTATTTAATCATTTTGGTCCTCTGCACTTAGCCTATCACTTGACACGTGGTAACTAATAAATATGTATTTCCCCAAGGTACACTTACTGAATCCTTACGAAGTGTTAGGCCCTGAGGATACATGGTTGACCTAGTCAGAAATTACACATAAATCTTTAAGAAAATTTTAAATTTAATGGGGGACAGAGATAAATTACAGTGCAGTTTAGAAAGTGCTGAGGTAGGCCTGGTAGATGAATAGAGTCTCAACGTAAGAGTGACTCAGGCATACGTATATATTTGAGCCACTGAGAAATACAGCAGTCTACCTTCTAGGCAAGCCCTTATCTTCTTAGTATAATTTTAAGTGTTGCCTTGGAAAAAAAAGTGACATAATTTGGACTTAAAATTTATAAGGAAGGCCTATTATTTTTTTAGAGAAAATTTCATCCTAGAGATATTCATTTTTGAATGGCACTGAATATCCTTGTCCTTCACCTCTCTCAATAGCTTCATCCCCCTTGGGAGTCTGAGGCAAGAGGATCAGAAGTTCAAAGCCAGCCTCAGCAATTCAGCAAGCCCCAAGCAATATAGTGAGACCCTGTGTGAAATTAAAAAATAAAAAAGGGCTAGGTTCAGTCCCAATACCAAAACAAACTTCAGCCCTGCATATCCAACACTAATGGTGTATTTCCACATGAATATTATACTAAATTCTCAAACTCAAAAGGAATTCATTATCTCTTTCCCCAGAAGCACCTCAGCTCTTGTTAAAGTTTCAACATCAACAATAATAAACCCATGTCCTAAGATCTACATTTATGTCACCTCACTCTTTACCCAGAGGCAAAGTCTTGATATTATCTTTGCCCTGTCTCCTTCTTCACATATATATTACATCTGAAAGCTTATCATTCTCCTCCATTAAATACAACTAGCATCTGTCACTTCTATTTTCATAATCACCATCTTAAGAGGCCCTTTGAGTTTAAAAGCCTAAACTACTGCTAACCACTTCTGAACCTGCTCTTTGCCTCTAGTCTTTTGCTACTCCTGGGAAGCAGACTGTTCTTCCCAAACCCTCCCCGTGTAACTATGCTACCTTCCCTGCCCAAAGAGTTCTCCCCAATGCCTACAAGAAAAGGCTCAAACTCCCACAATTAATCTGGTTTCAACCTATCTTCCCATTTGAATCCTCCACTAATTATCTATTTAACTTTTACATAGTTCTAACTACTATCAGTATTCTAAGGCCTCTAACTCATTTAATCCTTAAAATATCCAGTAAGGGGCTGGGGATTTGGCTTAAGCGGTAGCACGCTCACCTAGCATGTGCAGAGCGCTGGGTTCCATCCTCAGCACCACATAAAATAAAGATGTTGTGTCCACCAAAAACTAAAAAATAAATATTTTAAAAAAACCTCTCTCTCTCTTTAAAAAAAAAATCCAGTAAGATGTCTTTTATTGGGATTCTATAGACAAGGAAACGAGGCATGAAGAAATTCAGTAAATGCTTAAGATAACAAAGCAAGAAAGTGGAAAGGGGCCGGAATTTGCACGGAGACAGTCTGGATCCAGGGTCTGTGCCCTTGATCAATACAGGTATACTCTGGAGACATTCAGGCTTCCGTTGTAGACTACCTTCCATAAAACGAATGTTGAAATAATCAAGTCACACAGAGCTTTTGGTGTCCCAGTGCGTACACAAGGTATGCTTACATTATATTGTAGTTGTAAGTGTATACTAGCACTATGTTTAAAAAATGTACATACCTTAAATAAAAATACTTTGTTAAAAAAATGCTAATGATCATCTGACATGTTAGGAAAATGGACCCATTAAACTTGCTTGACAGAGGGTTGCCACAAATCTTCAATTTATTTTAAGAAATGCAATATCTGCAAAGCACAATAAATCAAAGTGTAATAAAGTAAACCATGTCTGTACCTTGTTGCTACCTCTCTTATAAAACTCCAACGTATCTATTTCCCAAACATATTTATATTTTCTCACCTACCTTCTGCTGCTTACATCCTATTCCCCTGAAGTTCCAATATCAAATGAAATGTCTGCCCCAACATAATAAAATTCTCGCAGTCCTCCAAATCCCACCGCCTCAGGCATGAAGCCTCTCTAATCATGGCGTGTCTGCTCTCTGCTGAGCTCTGAGAGCACATGTGGCCTGTGGCACCCATCAGACTCCTCCGCTGTCTTTAACTGAAAGCCTCCTGCATCTGCCTAACGCTCCATCCAGGATGTCTCACAGACCAGGCACCATGTCTTGAAAATCCCATCTGTGTTCCAAGTTCTCAACCAAGATCCTTATATATAACAGAGCTAGATAAGTATCTGATGGCTAAATAAAGAAATGACTTCACACCTGATATGGGAAAAAGTATGCTGGGGAGGGAGAGGTGTAATAAGCTAATAGATGTAATAAGCTCAGACACACTGAATTTTAAATTTTCTAAAAGAACGATCATGGCTAACACAACCTATCTGGACCTTAATTTCCTAGTGACAAATTTCAGGGATTTGATAGGATAATCTCAAATGCTCATTTCAATTCTAAAATTCTAGAACTTAGATTTTAAAAACTTTTATAAATTTGATGCATTTTTGTGGTCTCTACTTTCACATCTTCTAAAATCTATTTACTGTCCCATTTTTTAAACTTTTATTTAATTTTTAGGGGTAACAAATTTCTAAATAACTCAAAAATCCCTTAAAAATGTCTAATATAACTTTTAAAAGTCAAAGTTCCATATCCTAGAATTTTATTTTTCTAATACAGACAAGAATTCATTCATCAGGAATAAGATTCGTTGCAAATCAATGTTTATGCTATTTTCTTAATCCACTGGACAATAAATACTACAAAAGCACATCAAGGAGAAATAAAATACGATTTGACTTTATCAGTTTTAACAGTGAAATAAACAGCTTAAAAGTTAATAGCTAAAGCTGGGCACGGTGGTGCATACCTGTAATCCCAGCAGCTTGGGAGGCTGAGACAGGAGGAATACAAGTTCAAAGCCAGCATCAGCAATATTGAAACCCTAAGCAAGTCAGTGAGACCCTGTCTCTAAATAAAACACAACATAGGGTTGGGGTGTGGCTCAGTGGTCAAGTACCCCTGAGTTCAAGCCCCAGTACAAAAAAAGAAAACAGCTAAAGACCTCTATGAAGAAAAAAAAAATTTATGAAAGTCAAGGTATGTTAAACTTTTGAAGGTTAAAAAAATGGTTGCAAATTACACTCACCTTTGGTCAGATACTTTTGCCCCTTGTCCCACATATCACTGTGACCCCAGCCTGGAATCTTTATCCTCTTAGGGATGTAACCTAAATGTCAGTTGGTAGGCCCTCCTTTGGGGAAGCTACCCAGAAGTAAAATGGATCTCATGTCAAAATATAGATCCTCTACTGCAAAACTCCTCCTCTCCATTGATGATTTGACATAATAAAAATGATAGTTTTATTAAATAATAAAATGTCCATTTTCATTAATTCAATTTTATTAACCTCTATGATTCTAGATAAATGGAATAGTAAATCCTCTAATATTCTTGTATAGTTAAGCAATTTGAAAAAAAAAATACCTATAATGCTGCCCTATCATGAAAAT